TCTAAATTGATGACCTGTGGGGGCTTTTAAAGCGTCTTTTATTGACTTTTTGGGGTACTGCAGTTTTTCGCCGTTTCACGGTCGCACGCAATTTGTAAACTGGGCATGTTGGGTATCGTTTTACTCGTTGTAACCTCATCTTTTATATTTCATTAAAAAAATGGGTAATTTGTTGTGGTTTTGGGGCATTTAATTAAATTTGTCACTAAATTTTGGGGTTTAATAAGGAGTTGCGCTAATATTGCGCAACATAAAAATTTTCAACTACCACCATTTTATTCTATAGGGTCTTGGCATTCAGAAAATATATAATGTTGGGGGGTTTTATGTCATTTTCAGGCCTAAAATGTGGAATATAACATGGGTGCAAAAAATGAAAAAAGGGCCTCAGTCATGAAGGGGTTAAACACTGAAAAATACATCATGTTACGCTGTGCATAGGTAACATCATTTTCTGTATTAATCATTTTGTTTTGTCATTCTAGAGTTTCAATGGCAACAGCATCGTCTCAAGTGCTGATCCCAGAGATCAACCTGAATGACACCTTTGACACATTCGCTTTAGATTTCTCCAGAGAGAAGAAGATGCTAGAATGTCTTGATTATCTCACAGGTAAACTGCCGGTCAGCTGTTATTAATTTAATCATTCAAATGATGTAAGCTAATCATGATTCACTTCACTGGACTGCACTTTGTCATGAGGACGGGATAAGAGACATTGTTACTTCAAGGGTGCATTCAAATTAGAAGTTCTGTGTGTGTCATTACTCATTGATTACAGCTACACCTACATTACTTTGCAAGCAGGAAATTCATAATAAATCCTCTATTGAATGGACATCCTGTAGATTGTATCTGTTACAGGAGCAGGTTCTATCAGAATGTGATGTGTATAGGGCCTAAATACAGTCTGACATCTGTCGTATTGGAGTTTAGCAGGTGTCTGACGTGTGTGTTTTCAGGCTGCATCTAGAGCTGGTTTTCTTCTCATTGTGAAGAAAAGTCTATACTAAAGAGTACAATGACTGAGGTCATGATGCTTTCTAATGCGAGGCGGCTCTAAGATGTTTAGGGTGAATACAGGAGAGTAGAAGGAAATAAATAAGAGCACCACACCCCATGTTAGAGGTCCAAAAGTATGTTATTTGAGATGTAACAAGCAAATGCTTTTCGGCGCCACAGCATTTCGCCTTATTCAATCTTTAAAGTTAACTCTTAATGCATTAAAGAACCTTAACTATAAACAAAAATGCAGCTTATTTGTGTATCATTCAGCTATAGATCTTCAAATCATCTCTGAATTTGTGCTGAAACTGTAAAGTAGCCACCACTCCAAACACTCTCCCGTGATGTACTACAATCTCACGTTTGGTGTACTAATTTGTATTAAGATTGAAGTCCATGAAAGGAGCAAGCTTGGAGCAGTGACTACTTTACAACACACACAGGGAACATGGGGAACAAAAGTAGCCATCATCCAGAAGGAAGGACAGTGTCAGCATGAATTCAGAGATGATTTGAGGATCTACACCTGAGGATCTACCAACCAATCAGGAAATGATTGGTTGGTTAATCCAAGGTAGGTGAACATTAGTTTTGCAGTAAACATTCACCTCCCTAAAGTGCTCAACCCCATTGAGTAGTGAATGCACTACATTAAGGGCCTGTTCACACCGGGTCCGTGTGTTACTCTCAACACTTGCAGCTTGGAAGGTGCGTTTGGGGTGCTATTCAAATGAATGGCAATGCACTGTTAATGCACCAGTGTGAACGGGTCCTAAAACCATACATATCTACACACATTGTAAGCCAGATAAATTATTCGTTGGTCAGATCATGTCCACACATCTGAAAGTCTTCTAATGCCCATGCCTAGTTCTGGCCATAAACAGCTTGAATTTCAGTCCTCCAGCCTGCAGGCTGAACGAAAGAAATCAATCAATTACCTATCCACGCTAACAGCGTAGATGGAGGATTCTCCACTGCTACAGTTTTTGACACAGCTGCCTGAATGCGTGAACATTGACTGCATTTGATAAGGTGCAGTTGTTTAGCCAATCCATTTCCATCCATCTTGGAGCAGTGGTGCTACTTTACAACACACTCGGGGACCACGAGGACAAAAGTAGCCACCCTCCAGGAGGAAGGACAGCGTCAGCACCAATTCAGAGATGATTTGAGAAGCTACAGCTGAGTGATACACAAATAAGATACGTTTTTGTTAATCGTTAAGGTACTTAACTGTATTTTTAGGTTTTATCTCCTGAGTTTAGTGTCACTTTAAGTGCTGGTATAAAAAGAATAATTATTCATTGGTTAAATGGAGGGTGATTCAACTTGGAAGCTGGCTGCAGTACAGCCAGCTTCCAAGCTTTGCAGTACAAACAGCAAAAGGTTTTCCCAGCACACTCACAAGCCATCATGCAAAAAAACTTGTCTCACCGCTAAGGTTAAAAACAGAGGTTTAGATTAGTGAAAATAGTGTAACAGTAACTCTTAATTGGTTACTACAGGTTCAGGGGCATCCCCAGGCATGGTGTCACCTTCTGATCAGTAGTTCTGAGTTTGATCTGACTTCACTTGCTGCATGCTTGTTCCAGGTCAACCTATAAAAGTATTGAAGCCAGAGACAGCCAAGTAGCTAACTTTTTCAGATAGAAGTTAGTAATGACAGTTGTTTTATTTCTCTTGATAAAGGTGTACTTTACGTTTCCCTTGCTCTTTTAGTAGTATGTAAATAGGGCTAAATGGATGAAAATATTAATGTTATTATTATATTTTTTGACAGCTCCCAGCCCTCCTGTGATCAGGGAAGAACTCTGCACAGCATCTTATGACACGATTACTGTTCACTGGACATCTGACGATGAATTCAGTGTTGTTTCCTATGAGCTTCAGTACACCATATTTACAGGACAAGCCAATGTTGTCAGTAAGTATGCCTATGTTCATGTATTGCCTCACTGGTCATGATTTTATATGAAATTGCTGAATTAACCTCTATGTATAATTATACTCCTGTATTGTGGATAAAGGTATTACGTGAATTGGTGGAATTCGTGTCATGACATAAGTTTTTAAATAAAGCTTAGTGTATTTCCAGCTTTGCAGACATTTCATATAACCCCTCTATACTGTATGTTTGTTATGTGTTCCCATTCACACAGCATACCTAAAACTATTTGTATAAATATTTCTTGCCTTTTAGATGTTTTGTTGCAGTAGGCAAAATGGCTGGATCCAAGCCAGCACAGTGCAGACAGGGTTAACACAAAGCTCTCACACCCCCTCCTAACATTACAAAGAAGCAAAAGGAAAGTAAAGTTTAGCAAGTAAAAAGCAATTTTAAATTGCTAAAACATGCAACAAATATAAAATAGGTGTTATCTCAACTTGGCTGCAACACTGTTAATACACTTTAGACTATGAAGTGAAATCACTCCTGATAATCTCAGCATACCCCTACACCAGACCTGGGCATTTTATGGCCTGTGGGCCAAACCCACTTCTACCTCTCCAAAAATGCATTTATTTTTTTTTAAAGTATACCACTAATTGGAAGGCCAAACATAAGAAAAACATCACATCACAGGTGTACAGCATTCACTGGCATAACATGCATACTTGCTCTGTGGATGGCGATAAAGCAACCCTAAATTGCCTTAGCAGGTAGAAAACAGCCGGAGACTAGAGGGTGCGATTCAGTGCTGACTTCAAGTCCCTTTCATGGTTGCAGGAAAATATGCACCCTTGTAGACCAGGCAGGCCAACTGGGCAGCTAGGAACTAGAATGTTGCTATATAACGAAGCAAGTGCTTTATGAGAAACAAAAAAATTGTAAAAATCACTTGCACTTTTTAATTTTTATAAGGTCTTTGGCTTCACAGTTTTTTTATTTACTGCTTTTGCTGGAGTGTACCAAGGGAGCTAGTAGGGTTATTTCTTGGCATATCAGCACTTATTAATAGCAGTCAGTTGGGTGCCAGTTTCTTTTCTGTGTTTAAGCTAGCCATAGATGGGCAGATGTCTTAATTGCAGTGCCTGAATCACCACCTCCTCCTGACTGGCACAGTGTGAGCTTCTCATTGACATGAGGAACTTTTCAGTTAAGGTAGACGGATCCAAAATGTTGTAAATAATAATAAGCACTTGTAGTACACAGGAGTGTGTTGTATACTATCCTAGTCTAAGGGCCGATTTTCACCATATGTGTTGGGGCTGCACTGGCCATTGTGTCCAGCGCAACCACAACACAAGCTGGGATCGGCACTGTGTTGGGCAACGCACACCAGCCAGACACACGCACAGTGCAGCGGCTGGTGTGAATTGGTCCTAAAACAGTTTGATTCGCACCGTACATACATATTAGTAGGGGTATAATCTGGGTATTTATTACCACTCCTTAGCTAGCCATACATGGCTTAAATTTTGGGCAGTTCTTGTGAATTCACCAAAATTCAAGCCATGAGTGTCCCTGTTGACACCACCCGACGTTTACTGCAGTCACTGTTCAGGTATTCGAACAGCTAGAGGTGGTGGCTGTCAGAACACAGTAGCCAGCAGGGAAAATGTGTCCATCCATGCTGTTTAGCATGGATTTAGGAATCAAGAGATTTCTCTCGTTCAACCCACTGGGCTAAAGAAGAGAAATCTTTACGTGTATAGAGAGCTTTAGTGACATCTGACTCGCATCTTCCATTCCATGGTCTTCCCTCACTCCCTAAAGCTGAAATCCTGCCTAAACAAATATTGTGTAACTACCAGAGCCATGTGTATTCTTGCTTAAATCTTGGTATGCTTTGTGTAATTCTTCCAGATCTATAAGACAGTAGGAAACAACTTCTGCACTTTGCAGAAGTTTCCTGGAATTGAGACCGGTTGCTACTGCTCTCACTCCTGGTCTTGTATACACCCCCCACACCCTGTAGTTTTCAGAAGGCAACTGTGGTGGAAGGACTTGTTGGGTCCTGCCCTCAGCTTTGCTTTCTGTACAGGCTTTGTAATATGGTGATGCGGTCACCCCTTCTTTTCACAAAGTAATATCTCAGTTTCCAAAGGCATTTGGTGCACACACATTGCAGCTTTAAAGAAAGAACCACCCACTTAAAGTTTTATTAAGGAGATGTGGAGCAGAAATGGGCAATGAATGACTATACCACCAGTGTGAACTGGGAGCACACAGAACCTCTGCAGTGCTTGTAGTATGCACTGGTTGCAGGAAGTTGTTCATTCAATGTTTTCTTACACTAAAATGTCCAAGTATGATATGGAGCACTGCTCATCGGCTCTGCCCCCTATACACGTTACACAATGTTGTCTAAGGTGAGACCCTAATTTAAAGAAGATCTCCAGGCAAAATGTTATTACCCCTGCAGAGTGGCTACCCTCGCATTGCAAGGGTTACCTGCTCGTTTTGATCTACGGCTGCAAATAACCGTTATACGCACCTCATCTTTGAAACCGGCTTGCTCTTAGACCAGTTCTTCCACCCTCTCTCCCCCTCCACTGCAACACTCTAAGGTACCATAAATCATCACATCCTATACACTGTGTATAGAATTGAGGATGCTGAGGAACATTCCAATGCTGCAGCGTACAAGCAGGCAAGCGTCAGTGACTAGTGAAGCAGGGAGCCGGCTCATCAGTTCAGGTATAACGATTATTTACAAGTATAACTTTTTTTTAGACAAAAATTAGTACTTAACCCTTGCAGTGCGGGAGTAGCCCCACTGATAGGGTTAAGAACACTTTTGCCTGGAGGTCTTCTTTAAGTTCGTGGTAGGTGTACCCCTGGAGCTGATAGATGCAATGATTCTTATATTTGTATAGTTTTTAGCTCCTAACTTTTTTTTTTACTAAATAATCTTAAATATCTGCTTTAGTAACATAATTTTGCATGTATGAGGGTTAATGCTGTCATGATTTTGCATTTTACTTTTAATTTCAGAAGCAAGCCAAAGACTAATTGCTTAATTATTGAATGATAAATGAAACGCGTGTAGACAAGTATTCCTGATATTCAAAGTATGTGTTAATCAGATTTTCTTCTTGGGATGTGCTAATTGCTAGACTTTGAGGCTTGCACAGTAGGAGGCTGTCACCCACCACTCTCCACTTTAATTACTGCACTGTGTATCATCTTTTGAAATATAAGATAATTAAGGAGATGGAAGGATAATTAAATGGAAGTTGACATTTCTCACACAGGCGTTAAAACAAATAGATGGCAAAATCAAATATAGATCAAGCAGAAAATATATTTCCAGAAAAAGCCTTATGTTTCTGCTGTAGTTTTTAGTAGCCCGAGTAAATTATAGCAAATTTACAATTTACATGACAGCTTAAGCTTTCTTAGTTCTCCACTTACACCCTTAATTTAAAATGTAGTTTTGTTTAAATTAAATGACTGAACATGAAACTGGCAGTATTCTTTAATATAAACAAGTTTGTCCTCTGATGCTACTCGTAGTCCATGCAGGTGATTTTCTTTTATCCTTAAAGAACACCCTTTTTTTTTAAATTATTACTAACCCTTGCTGTGGGGCTACCCCCACACTGTGAGGGTTAGCTGCTCGTTTGTGTCTAGGTTAAAACAAAAAAACAAAGTTATGTTCACCAGATCCTTCGAGCTGGCTTCTTCTTAGACTGGTCCTTCCAACATCTCTCCCCCCAGGAGGCAGGGGAGGGGGCGGGCACAGATGGCTGTGGCTCTAGAGAGGCAGAGCCAGCTGTCAATCAGACAGCAGGGTGGATCCCAACATTATATTTCAATTAAACATGCTGAACCTCTGGCTTTACTACTTTCTAAGTCACTGTCTCAAAAAAAGTAGGGATGCACAGGTACCAGTTAACTCACCAGAGTCGATACTTGGCATTTTCATGGGAACTACTAGGGTTGCAGGGTTGGGCCCTGGTGCTCCACCACTGTTCTGAAATAATTAGTCTGTATTGTTTTAGAAAAACTGTCACATGACACAAAACAAAATGTATCAGTAATTGGTATCTTTGAGTACTTGGACAAGTATTAGTACTTCTACTTGGTCTGGAAAAATTGGTGTATCCCTAATAAATAAATATATACAACAAATCATACACTAAAACAGGGATGCACAGATCCCAGCAGCCCCGTAGCCAATGCTGCTTAAAAATGGCAGCTGCGTCCTAACTTTTGAGTTTTTCTCTAGTCTAGTCTTGGAGCTGAAAAAGTATCAATACTTGTACTTGTACCAAGTATGGTACTTGGTATCTGTGCATCCCTAAAAAAAAACTATTCAGCAAAGCTGGAGAAGAATCAAAGGTACCTATACATATACTTTTTTGGCCACAGAAGTACATTTACTAAGGGGTCTATTCACTAACCTGCCGCAGCATGTTCGGCCCGACCCGAATTGCAGGAGGAGTTCGACTCAGCCGATCCAACATCTGGATCGGCTAAGCCGAACCACCGGCAGGCTACTCGCTGCTGTTCGGTCATATTATCAGGATCCACCCCGCTGCCTGATTGACAGCTGGCTTTGCCTCTCTAGAGCCAGAGCTAGCTGTGCCCGCCCCCTCCCTGTCTGTCCCTCCAATGAGCACTGGAGGAACAGAGGGGGAGAGGGGGATCCCTGACAGTCATTGCTCTCTGCAGGGAGAAGCCGTGAGCTGACCAGTGGTTTGTGTTCACTTAGTTCTTCAGCTATAGAGCCCAAACTATTGGAAAGAGTACATTTTACTCCCCCAATAGTTCTTCTTTAAATAATTATCCTGACCCTCTTTTGAAATGTGGAAATTGAGGATTTATTCCTTTAAAGAACAATATTTTTCTGCTTTATTGTTTGTATATTAATCATTACAGACTTCTTTGGCCCACAGAGTCATTTTCTTTGCTACGTAAACTCCTTCATACCAGCTGTTAACAGCACTTTAGAAAAATAACACCAATTAAAATAA